CCCCATCGAGTACATTAACGTGATCAATCAATGATCGATCGGATCGGAATCAATAGCAGATCGATCGGAGCCGGCTTTGCCTGTGTGATAGATAATCATCCGCATCATAGCCAGCGGGGGCAGCAGTAGTTAGGTAGCATATAGACAGTAACTAGCGGCAGATGGAGAGGATGGAGCCAGGGCAGAGGAGGAGGGGGGAGAATGAGGAGCAGAGAAGGGGGAGGAGGAGCGAGGAAGGTGGAGGCAGGGAAGAGGAGTAAAGAGGAAGAGGGCAGCAGGATGGGTATGGCAACGATAGTCCTTACCTTCCTGATCGCAGGCGACCGCAAGTCATTCTTTGGTTGACAATTCAGTCTGGAACGCCTGAGAGACAGCGGAAGCGAGGGTCAAGTCAAAGCGCGCGCGCGGATTGCGAGGCTGACGTAACGCGCACTGAGGAGGACGAGGAGGAGGAGTGTGCTGTCGTCATGACGACGCGGCGACGTTGCACGCGGCTCACGACCGACGGACCCGCGTACGTCGTGCGTCGTAGTCGTTCGCTGCCGTACGGCGACTGAGATGCGGGCCGCCGCCTGCCGACGAGGTTCACGACTGTCGCGTGAGACCGTGCGCTCGCGATGACGTCACGGTCGAGGGTCGCAGATGCCGCGCTCGTCGAGTGTCAATGGTCGCTGCCGGTCTCGGTCCCGTCGCTCGCTTGCCGACCCCGCGTGACCTCCGCCACTCTACCGCATGTGTGTTGGCCAGAACATCTGTGTCTTCGTCAGCGCCTCTTATATTTTCGTCAGGCGCCCTCTATATGTGGTTCGTCAGCGCCTCTATATTCTTCATCAGCGCCCTCTCAATATTTTCATCAGCGCCCTCTATATTTTTCATACAGCCCGCCCCCTTATACGTCTTCGTCAGAGGCTCCTCTACATTCGTTCGTCAGCGCCCTCTACATAGCATTAACGACTCGACGCTCGTACTACCGCTGGCCGGACTTGATGTCGTCGAGCGGGTGGCGCCCCTGCCTGTCGCGCGGCCGTAGTCGTCCGTCCTGCGAGCTGGACCGGTTACGCCTCGTTCGGACCTCGATATCGTCGACATCGACATCGGGTCCTCGTTCTCGCTATCGGCGGTTGCGCCTGCCTCGTAGTCCTCGTCTAGCCCGCAGTCTCGCTCAGGCGCTCTCGAACTCGGTGAGGAGGCAGACGGTAGGAGCCGCTGCGGTGCTGAATGCTGCGCGCGCGCTGTGCGGCGAGGATGCTTTTCGTCGCCCGCGGCGCGGCGGCAGGCATGTGGAATGCTCCGCCGCGTCGCCCCACCGGGGGCGGGATGGGCCTGCCACTACAGCTATCATATTTTCGTCGTGCGATGATCATGCTCGAAGCTTTCGTCGTCGACGGAGGGGAGGACGACGGGAGTGAGGCGGTGCAGAGGCAGCGGGGAGCGCATGGGGAACTCGGAGCATGCGCCCAGCCAGAGCTGCCGCAACGTCGCTTCTCCCGTCTTTTTCCTCTCTTCTCCTCTGGTCTTGATTGGTTCTCTGCCCCTCCGCCTCCTCCTCACATCTCAACCACTTCATCCTTCTTCCTCTGCCTGCTTCTCCTTCCTGCCAGTGTTTGAATCGCAGCTCGCTCCTCCTCCTCCTCTCCTCCTCCTCCTACCTCCACCTCTCCTCATAACCTCCATCGGATCGCGACAGTGCGGCCGTCTTGACCGTCAGCCGAGCCGCGGCGGTCGTCGCCGGAATCCGAGTCGGAATCCGGGTTCAGGTCTGTGCTGCGTCACGGTGATGTCCGGTATGTCGACTGGCGCCCCCTGGTGAGGATCGATGCCGCGTGGCGCCCCCTGGTCTGTGCAGCTGTAGTACATGGAAACTTCCTCGTGTCGCATCTCAGCGACCTCTGACCTGACCTCTGACCTTGCTTCTCGTGTTTCTCCTACTTCTGACCTGTACCTCTGACCTGCTTCTCGGTTTCCCCGCCTCTGACCTTGCTTCCGTTGTCTTCTCGACCCTCTGACCTTGCTTCTTGTGTTTCTCTGACCTCTGACCTCACTTCTTGTGTTTCTCCGACCTCTGACCTCACTTCTTCGTGTTCTCCGACTCTGACCTTGCTTCTCGTGTTTCTCCGACCTCTGACCTGACCTCTGACCTTGCTTCTCGTGTTTCTCCGACCTCTGACCTCACCTCGCTGGTCTCCTCCGTCCGCGAGCCGTACATCCCGAGGTCGGCAAACGACTCGGGACCGAACGACATCCCCATTGGATCATAGTCGTCGCCGACACCATCTTGTCCCGCGTGTCGGAATCCGAGGTCGGCGAACGAATCGGGACCGAGAGACGCCGCCATCGATCGTCGAGTAACGGATCCCTGCAGGTGGCGCCACCGCCCAGTCAAAATCACTGTAGGTGTCGCTAGCGGCGCTCGCCACCCCTAACTCCCTGTAGGTGTCGCTAGTGGCGCTCGCTGTGCCAAGCTCCCTGTAGGTGTCGCTAGCGGCGCTCGCCGCGCCTA